TGTTTACAATGTTTTAATTATGCTTAAAGTTATTATTTTTGAAATTAGACAAAAAGTTAATTCTCAAAAAAATTGATGGAAAGCAAAAACTATATACTGAAATGCTATTGCACTGAACTTATGTTATAAAGATAAAAATTCGGATAAGTAATGGAAATAACATAATGATAGATATGCTAGCACAAACTGGAATGAGTGAAAATGGTATTCTTAGCATTTGTTATAAAAATATTTATAAAAGCGATAAATATTATTAGTATTACAGTAAGTATTATTGTTGTAATTATAATGATATTAGTTATAATTTTAATTTTGGTATTATAAAAATGATAATAAAGATTTAAAATAACAATATCAATACTGTTCAATGAAGACGTATTCCAAAAAATAAGTGATAAGACTTTTAGGGTCCAACGTAAAGTGATAAGTCGAGAAATGGCCGACTAGCAATCAGTGGTTGTTTTGAAGCAGAAAAGCTTTCAAAATTTTCACGTTAAGGCAAAATTCACGTTAAGGAATATTTCTAAACAAGCGTGAAAATTTTATTTCCAATTTCATAAATAATTAATTATTTTTGGATTGAAATCACAAAGTTTACATCTCCTTCAAGATGTATTTATCGCACTTGTAGTTTTCCATTGCTTATGCAAATAATTCTAAAAACTAGATTGTTTTTGACTTACTAATATCTAAATATTAAATAAAGCAGTTTAGCTTCTTGATATCAAATTCTTTATAAGTATGCAATTAAACTTCACACAAATTTGATTTTAAAAAGCAAAATTTAGTATAAATGTGCTTCAAATTATAAGCTATAGGAATTTTAGAAAATGAAATTTATTTTCAAAAAGTTGAAATGTATTTAGAAGCATAAATACTTTTTTAAAAGCTAAAATATTTAAATTAGATACAAAGTTTAATAAAATGAATTTAAGAAACTTAAGAACTTATTAACATTATTGAAAAATTTTCAACTTTAAAAGTTTATATTCCTTAAACTATATTTCGATTTCAAATATTTCATATTAATC